TTTTTTTTTTTTTTTTTTTTTCGGATCCCGATTGTAGTGAGGAATGAATTGGTTAACTACGATGTGTGCTTATATTTTATTTCCTACCGAAAAAAAAAAAACTTATTTTGTTGAAATTCGGTACTTTGGAGAAGTCGTTTTTTTTAAAAAAAATATTTTCCTTGTAGTTTGCATAATAATCAAGAAAAACCGGTAAGAAGCGTATTGGGAAAACTGAAAGATGTACGTTAATACAATTGATTCTTTATTTTTGTTTTTTTTTTTTTGCGATTTGATTTAAAATAATCATAAAAAATGAAAATTAAATTTTTACTTATTTTCTATTGACAAGGAACAATTTACAAAAAAAATTATTAATTGTTGATTTATTTATTGCCATGTAGTATGTGTAAGTTTGTTTTTTATATTTATTTGGGAAAACGTAGACCGAACAAAAATGTTTGAAAATTCAATACGTGGTTGATATAAACTTAATTTAGTGTTAAAAAAAATTTTTAAGCTTATGTGTTAGTTTTATTGATATTTAAAGTTCAAAATTGAAGAAAATTTTAAAAATCACAGTATTTTTAAATGTTTTTAGTTGAACTTCACTAAAAATCGTATTTCGTTGGAATCGACAGCTATTTTTTTGTTAGTTTTTTTTTTTTTTTTGATACGTATTTCGATAAGTTATTGGTGTACTTGTTGGAAAATCAAAAATTTAATACAAATATACAGTAATTATAATATAACAAATAATTAATTTACTCGTCGGAAAAAAAATATTTATCAACTGGATCGATATACTCGTAAAATATTGAATATGTAGAATGTAAATATAATTTTTAACGTAAATGGAAAATAACAGATCAAGTATTGTTAGTTTTGAATTGAAAATGTTTTTCTACAAAAACTCGTACACTTGAATACAAAAACAATATTTATGTACATTGCATAGTTATTATACAAAGACAAGTTAAAAGGGCGTCGACGACGAGAATCTATAGCGAATTTTTGTCACGCAGTCGTCATGGAGACCGGCAATCGATAAAAGAAAATTCAAAATTTTATCCCGACTACGAGCGTGTGTAATATGGAAATTGAAATTTATGAATCAGGCTGCAAATGTATATTAATAAGTTATTGATTGTGAAAAAAAAAATAAATATAAAATATAAAAAAAACTAAATAAACTATATAATATTTTGTACGTTGGGCTTAGAAAACGTGATTGCGAAGAGACGGATGGACTGAAAAGTGCCGTTTAAAGCAATTTTGTTTCTCGAAAATTCCTGAAAAAAAAAAAAAAAAAAAATGATTTATGAAGTTTACGTGCGTGCTTTAGCAAAACCATGAACCGTCCAGAATTGTATCTCAATCATACTCGGTACACGCAATGTTTTTGATTATGAACGGGAAAAAATGCCGTGGCTATGAGAAAACTAAAATCTCGCCTGGAATACATTGCAGGTTTTACTATGACGTTTGTGTTGTTTCGCCTGTTTCATATGGACTCAATGGTATCACATGCTATCAATCGTAAAATCATAAAATATCAAATAGAAAATTTCTGGTATAATTTTTTTTTCATCTGGTACATTTTATACTGATATATTACATATTATTGCAAATATTAATATTAAAAAATCTTACATTTTAATAGTTTCAAAGACTTACAAACTAATAGACCTAACCGTTTAATAAATGATAACACAAATTTGACATCGAAAATCGAGCTGTTAATCTAACCTCAAAATCTTCAACAAATGTATAATCCATAAGCTGGTACCGTTGAGATTCTGAGTGGAGCGAAGAAGCTTATTGTTTTACAATGATGTTTAATTATTTTTCCTATGGACAACTTTTTCACCTGCAATTTTGCTCGGATTTTCAATGACATTTTTTCTTAAAGGAAATCTGACTGGCGAGATACTTTAAGGGGTTAATTCTTTGATTTTCCCAAGAGATTTTCTAATAAATGGCAGAGACCGGGAAAAACGTAGGAAAACCGTGAAAACAGGTACAATTTTAAACAAATTAAAGAATTAAAAAATTAATTAATTATTAAAGAAAATATACTACGCATATGCAATTATTTTACCATAATATGACATAAATATTTTTGAAAACGCAGCACAATCAATTGAACTCCGCTCAGAATAGTTTTTTCGTTAGCAATGGTTTATCGTTGCTTACAGATATACATTGAATCACCTATAACAGTGTCTGAACCCGTTTTCATTACCCTAGGATAGTTTTTTTGTTTTTTTAATGTATGATTTTATTATGAGAAATGTAAAATGAACGATATTAACGAGAAAACAGCCTTTTATTCAAGATGGAATATAACTATATAAGGCTGTAGTTCATTTTTAGAATTTTAATAGATTTTAAACGGTTTTGCCTAAACCGGCATAACCTATTGTTTTTTGTTGACCATTTTACATCCCGTTGTTTTGCACGTAAAACAATCTACGGACGGGCACGCAGAAATCCGACGTTCAGAACATTATCGGACAAAAACGTATAATTATTTTCGGAACGGCCGGTGCGATTCGAACTTTCGCACCGAACACTCGATTTTTGGAATTTTGGAATTTTCAAAAAAAAAAAAAAAACGAGCGAGTTATAATTTATAAAAATTATATAGGCACGGTAATCTCTGTGAAACTTGATATTCGCCTTTAATCGTTTCCCCGTGCGTGCGACGCTCGGCATAAATAAATACCGGCCGGGCTAGGAGAGCCGAGGACAGCTCCGAATCCGTACACGGTTTTCGCAAATACCGTTTAACCGACACGCACAATATTCGTTTAATGAATCGTTAAAACGCCGTGTGTCGTTTTCACGGTTCGGACCGCAATATCGGTTGCGCGTGCTCAATGTTTATTCGCGATATTATCAATAATAAATGCAAGTAAAACACATTGTAAATTATCCGACGTCGGTTTGCGGTTTCAACTGAACATAATCTATAATAACCGTAATAACGATAATATATTTTGCGGGCACGTGCGTTCAATACCGCGAAAACCACAGTCTAAAAAAACGGAACTCCGGGCGGGACCGGAGCCGATTTCCGTTTCGTACGGTACGTTTCTATGAGTACGCGAAATTCGATTTCGGGAACGCAATATTATTGTGCGGGCGTTATACCTATGCGTTCCTATTGAAACGTCCGTTTTTATCGAGGCCGGTCCGTTCCGAACGGGTTTCCTGCCGTATATATCGGCTGTTAGAGGCGTTTTTTTTTTTTTACGGCGTCGTCGGCAGCTTTTGGTCATTAGCCGCGTCCAAACGAAAACGTCGATTTTTTTCACCCGAAGCCCGTCGGTTACTGTTTTAGATTCGAAGCGTAGCAATAAGCGATGCATTTGGTTTTCTACGGTGTGCGTTATTTGTTTGCCCTTCAAATGACGTATAACCGAGTTTTGCTCCGAATCGTTTTTCGTTAACAATGGTTTACCGTTGCTTACAGATATAACATTTAAACGTTACTGTGTATCCTGTACCGACCCAGCTTCCCGCGCGTAACAGTGGCTTACCCGTCTACGATATCGGCTTTTTTTTTGCATTTGCATTTGCACGTGTTCGCGGACCCGGGCGTGGTTTTCCGGCCGAACGTCCGTCGAGTTCGCATTTAGTTTGAACACGCGAATGTTACAACACGCACGTTGTGTCCGATTTTCGGACCGACGGTGGCGATAATATCGTTTCGTCACAATCCGCCGGTGCGCGGTATTTTCGCTCGGCGGACTTGTGTGGAAACGCTCCGACACACAGGCGTACAGAATCCGCTAATAACGGAAACCGAGAACGTGTTGAAAATCCGCGCGTATTCTCTGCGTGTCATTCGCCTATTATCCCGCGCGTGTACCGCCGCCGGCCGTATAATTACACGCGTGTCATTTGGTAAACGAATTAAATTCCGGTCGGTTGATCCGGCTATCGAGATTAATTGACTTTGAGGGATTGCTGCGGGGGCGGCCGGCGGAGAGGAGCCGCGGCCGAAACACCGCAAATGCCGACGAGCATGGCGTTAGCCGCGGCCGCAGTTTTGTAAATCGCTCTAATTTTCGAAATCACCACGCTGCGGCGACGTAGACAACGGGTGGGGATGAGGAAGTTATGTGCGTCAACCCCGCCCCCCCCCCCCCCCCCCCCCCCCCCCTCACTGACCGTATTTTTTTTACTTAAAGCTTTATGGAATAGGTACGTTTTCACATAACACTCTGGGAGTAGCGAGGAACCTGTTGGTTTTACTACGATGCGCGTGTGTGTGTTTTTTTTTTTTATATAAATTAATCGAAAATCGTCGAATGGACTTTTATGCAGCATATTTTTTTTAAGTTCGTGCATTGAGATTGTTCCTCTTCGATTTTTCGCACGGTTGTCTTCATAGTTATAGGAGGAAGAGGGGGAAATTTTTGGAAAAATGGGAATATTATTCGAGGGCGGTCTGGGCAACATAATATTTTCTACGCTAGTTACTATAATATTATACACGTAAGAACTAGAAATGTGCGTTAACAACAATTTAGAACTGAATCGTGATACTCAAAACCACTACTCGATTCTCGACACTATATTGATAAAAAAAAAAAAAAAAAAACGATAACCGTTTTGTAATTAAATATAAAAACATATCGTAAAATTAAAAAAACTAACAGTAAAATCAATACATTTCTCGCTTATTGTAATCTAAAACACAAATGAATTAATTTGATCCGATCTATTTAACCACCGTGGGCTTATCACGCTATCGCTTATTATTCCAAAACAGTGAAATATCGAATTCGATACCGAAAATCGTCTCGATTTCGATATTCGATACTGTCTGTAG